GTAAATTTTTTTTTTTTTTTTTTACAGTTACAGGAAAAGTCTTTTTACTACGGCTCTCACACATTCTTTTTGGCTCTGATATTTTCCAATACCTGTTATTTCAATGTATTTCCATGGATCAATTATTCAAGGAGTCCGTTTTGATGTCCTTAATTATAGGATTTAATTTAGGACAATTGTTTGGTTTAGCTTTTTTTTAAAACCATGGATTTTTTCGTGATGTTCTATTCCGGGGCTTGTTTGCGTTCGTCATAGTATATTTTAAGTTAAGGCACATACTAAACGGACCGGCACAAGGTTCGAATTTATTGACCGATGCCCTGGAGGGCGAAGGCCTTCCACCCAGGAGCATGGCACAATTCCTCCTTCGTGAATGAATCCTCCAGCCCCTCCCGTCGGGACAGATGGTTAACCGATATGGCAAAATACCGGTTACCCGGTCCGCACATTTCCCGGACCGGTTAACCTTTAACCGGACCGTGGCCAAGCCTACCTTCTGCCTGGATTGTGTGGATAGATAGGGATGGAACAGTCAGCCCAGTTGTGCACACAGCGGTCGCTCGCGATTCTCAACGATGCTCTCTGGTCAGTGCGCTTTGATCTTGAATCTCCATACCCAGATGGAAGGCATGCACGGCTTTGGTGTTCCGATCGATGGTAGAACACCTTGAGGTGTTCGCGATTTCAAGAGAGATTGGGCTGGCCGGACGTGGCTTCAGCGGAGCGTAGGGGGTGGTCTCGATTCAAGTGCGGAGTTGCCGAAGAGCATCTTGTGCAAGTTAGTAGAGGTAGCGGTGTCGAACGCCATCCTGGAAGACCATAATATGCGACATTGGTCGATTACCAGGCCGAAATAGGACGAACCCAATTGATGGTTGCAGTAGGCGGAGAACATGTCGAAGCTACTCGAACTTCTTCTTTGGAAGCTTGGAGAAACCATTGCAGATCCGAAAGCCACGGATAACCTTCTGCATTTAGCAGCTCTGCACGGTCATGCGAACGTGGCTAAATCGAATCTGCAGGCTCGTTCTGAGTTAAGGAATACAAGGACCTGTAGCGTTCGAATTGTATTGATGCTTGCGTCTTCCAGTGTAGGGTGAACTCATCCATAACTGAAGATGCAAGCACCAAAGCAGTTCCACCGCTGCTGGTCATCCGCGCTGCGAACTTCCACCTAGTTTATGTATGCAAACCTTGAAATATCGAATGAGATGTAAGGGTGCGAACAGAGTGCACAACGCGTTAACTCTAAGAGTATGAGCTGAATCACTCCTCTCATGCTTGCTGCACGAGTAATTCTTGACTCATGCTTGCTGCCGAAGGACTTCAACAGAACGTGGCATCCATGCTTTCGCAAAACAAAAAATGAGTAGGAACGGCTAGACCGGCGGCTTAAATTTCCTGCACCTAGCAGCTCAAACAGAGCAGACGAAGGTGTGGACTCTCCTTCTAGACAGGAAGGCTGACTTTGTCTTCGATAGGGAGCAACTATGGTGTGGAGAGGTCAATTCCAGAACTGATGCACTAAGTGAAGAGACTTTGGAAGATGAAGTGCCTTGGACTGACGGAGACGAAGACGAAGTATGAACGGCTCACACGTCTCCATTTGGCTGCCATCGCCCACCACTCTGCAGCAGGGCTGTTTCTCGAGAGGGATTACAGGACTCTGTCGCTGAAAGTCAATAAATTCTTCCTAGACCCTGCGAACCTCCTCTGCTATCATTAATAAGAAGGTAAGTAGACGCGACACCCCGAAGGTTCTGGAACTCAATCGAAGATATTGCCTTCAACAACTTAATTGCACCAGAAACTCCGAATTGGTGAAGCACTTACGAGATGCACGGTCAAAATTTGTGGAATCGATCGGGGTAGCTATTTTGGTTAAACATTCGAATTCCAAATATATTACTTTGGACCATGTGACAGATGGTCGGCAGAAGTGAAAATGAACGAATAGTTTTGCGTGCTGGCTGTCCTACTTGCGTTGTGTTTCTGATGATCTACTTCGTCGGACAATGTAGACGATCATAGCTCAGACACAGTTGTTCTGTGTGCATGTGAGCTGCAAGCGCGAGAGCGAAGACAGCAGTGCGGTGACGACGAATGAACAATCGCTAGGAGACGACAGTTGTTCTGAGTTTGCCTTGATGAGAACTCGGTTGCTTCCATCCAAAAAATTCCTTCTGCCAATCAAAGATAATCTGGTGTAAATCGTGCGACCCCCGACTATGATGATCTGCACTTAGTGGATTTCTTTCTGTGAAAAAAGCAAAGGTTTTCTTCAAAACGAACATTTTACAATTTCCCGATTTTAAAATTATTCTAACTCTATTTTGGTATATTCTAAAATAAACTAGTGATTGTGAACAATTACTCGTCAGTTGAACTACGCTCTTTGAAGATTTTTACTTCCTAATAGGTACATCAGGCACAGTATCACCATACTAGTTCATTACCAGAATGTTACTTATAACTCCCTGTATAACCATAATAATTCTCTGCTCATCACCATATGTTCATCATGATCTATCTATTACACTCATGTCTTTGGAATATAATATAATACTCTAGATTCCTTGAGTTAGTTAATCTCCAACATAGTTTCCGAGGCTACTTTCCCAAGTGACCAATTCAAACTATGTCATATAATCCGAGCAAATTACTCGATGGGACCAACGTTGCTTTCCCAAGTGACTAATTCAAACTATGTCATTGAAGCCGGGGAAATTACTTGATGGTACCCCGCCCAAATTCAACCATCTCGATGGGACCCAACAATTTCATTTTGCCCCATTGACCATTCGACGGCCACCGCAAGCCATATTCTTATTACGTACTTATTTGCTCTACAGAGTGAGGAGTGTCCACCACTGTCGTGCCAGAGTATTCTGGCAACTCGTTTGCAATCGTGTCTAAGAAAAAGACTAACACGATGAGTCTGAATTACTCCGGATATGGTATTCCCGTAACTTCATGTTCTACTCGAACTATTCCCAACTAGTATTGGAACATCTGTAACGGTCGGGTTGCAGGGTTGGGAAAATGAAACCATTTGGGTCCATCAAGTGTTTTGAGTTTCCCCGGTGTCCCATCAAGTAATTTTCTCCATCTAATCTAGATCTGCCAACAACGCTGACGCTGGCTAGATGCTGGTAGACAAGTACCAACAGAGTCTTTGATTGGCTTGTACATAATCTCCTGTTTAATACAAGAAAACTTGCTTTGTCCTCACTTTTAGGTTACGACCCCTTTAGTGGAATGATTGCAATGCCTTTGCAAAGAAAATGACTTGTGCTGGACCGATGAAAAATAAGAAACTTCATTCGCCAAAAACATACCGGTTCAACTGCTAAGATATAGTATAAAATACTGATTCTTTGTTTCAGGCAGTATTATACAGCAAAATATCGATTCGTGGAAATTTTCGGATGCTTCCGTATTCAAATATCAAATTTTATACAAGTAAGATAGTAACTGGATACTGTTTATTATCTTGACCACGTATTTAACACACATTTTCTTTCTTGTTGGCTTTTGTAGCATCAAATATGATTTTAGAACATACAAATGATAGCGTTTTTCATTTGTGAATCTTTCGTACTTGTTGTGATTTTCTCACTCGATGATTTGATCTTTAACGTTTTCCTCTGAAGCATGCTGATTCCCATGTTTTTTCTTGCATGCGTTTGAGCCCAACAGTATTTTCAATGAGAATCTATTCCTAGATACGCGCTTGTACCTGCATAAAGATGCTGCCACGGAAGACATCTCAACTCTCACACAGAGAGATAATATATCGTTACGTACTTGCATGATTTTCACATTGAACATAATTTAATGTGACAATCACGTTAACAAATATACATAGACATGAGTGTATTTTTAAAGACTTTTGTAATTTTTACATCAAGTTATTATTTCATTTGTGACATGATTTGCTCTTCATGCACATAAAATTAGAAAATTGATTCATAAATTGTAGTTTGAAGACATCATTGCTTTAGACATTTGTAATCAACATCTAGGTTTTTATTCACTATCGTTTTAAGATTATTTCGATGATAGTTATATGTGACAAGTGATCATTCATTTGACATTAAATTATGTTTTTCCATTCTCTTTTCACAATATATTTTTGCCATAACAAAAGCATAAATGATATAAATTTGACTATGGCTAGATTTTAATTTTTGCATTTATCAATATTGCTGTCTTAAAATTATTTATAATCAATGGATTAGTTGGATATTTTTGTATATTGATAAAATTTTTAAAAAATGTTCCTTTTGTTGATATCTATTTGGTTTAGATTTTTTATATTCTATTATATCCTATTTTATCCTATTCTATTAAGTTGTATCGTTTCTAGTATGAAAAATTATTATTTTAGACTGGAGTTAAAACTTTAAGACAAAGTAAAGCCTAATTTGATTCAATAAAATTCAAATGATTTAAGTTTAATTACTTCTGGCTTCAATGAGAATGAGGTTTGAACTGATAAAAGGGACTGCACATTTTCTGAGTACTTGTGACAAATATTTTGAAACAATATTTTTAAAACTAGAAAGCTGATGCAATAATGTATAATAAATTCAATAATTTCTTAGTGAAATTTCAAAGCTGGAAAATGAGACTAAAAATTTATTTTGTGCAATTTCAAAAATGATAAATATCAAATTTGAGAAATAGAAATCAATAACTTAGATTCGTATTTAAATCAAGAATGCATTCAATTGGGCTAGTTTTAAATGGAAAGGGATAACTAAAATTCGATGTACTCAATCACTGTTTTCAAGAAGCTACATCAACTGAATCTTTTGTTCCAAAACATCATTACAGATAAAAATAAATATCCACGTGGATTCCTTTTCCTCACTTAAATCCAAATCCAGAGCCTCACATGCGCGACATAAAAGCTCCAATCCTCGGACGAAGACGAAGACCGTAGTGTACACGGCCGTAGTCTACTTGGTACGTGACCGGGAGTTACAGCGCGGGTTCGACAACTTATTCGCTTTCGAAGCACTGGACTGTCACGGACGTGGTACCGTTCGCAGGATCAGAAATCTCTGCACGACGGATCTGCAGACAGAGCCACTTGAGCCCTCTGCTCTTGACTTTCGTGCACCTATTTCTTTCTCTTGACTTTCGTGCACCATCAATCTCCTCGTCCTCGTCTCCGCCGTGTCAGACATGCCTTTTGTTTCCATGGAGCTTCTCGTGTACCAGCTGAATCGTGTGTGTCTCTGAGCTCGCGACGATCCAGTCGAGTCTCGTTCGGTCGAATTCCCAACCATCGCTCTGTTGGTGATGTCAATTGCGACCGGGAATTGGGTGGACCTTTCTGATCAGATAATCTGAATTGGACTTTGCGCTTGGCGGGACGTTATTTTTCTTTGCGAAGCGATGGGAAGCGTCGAAGATGATCGCAGTGCTCGGCAATTTCGCTTCTGCATTGACAGGGGCGGTACATTTACGGACGTCTATGCTGAGGTGGGCATGTTTGGGCTCTGTATACAATTTGTAGTGTCAATTTCGGTAGGAAGCTCCGTCTGTTTCCTTCAAAGCTTAGCGAGTCGTGTACAACAAACAACTAGGATCATATGAGAGTGCGCACTGGCCAGCGACGGGAAATTGGTCGTTAAATCAGAGGTGCAGGATTCGCTTGGCAGAATGAAATGTTTCATACCATTACTCATGTAGCTTATTCAGGTGGATTTGTAGGGGTGTATTTTGAGTTTATGCTGCATAAAAGTCTGTTTTATAATTTTCCAAGGAATTTTAAGTAGAGGAGGAGCAGTGAAGGTCAGTTGAGAAGGATAATATTGAGCTTTTATGGACGAAAACTAGATTCAGATTTTTTTTTTGGTTTGGTTGTCAAGGTCAGCTGAGGGATATACACGTGCTTATTGCTGCATCCACAGGTGCCTGGTGAGCCCGGGTGGCGTTTTGTCAAACTGCTTTCTGTAGATCCTGGTAATTATGATGACGCACCTCGTGAAGGGATAAGGAGGATATTGGAAGAGGTACTGCACTAGGCCATCAGTCAGATGCACCTCAAAGGGATTTCTGTTCTACTGGCAATTGCAGTTGTGACGTCACTTACTGCAGAGATTTATGATGTCCTATTTGAGCTTGACTTTTCTTTATATATTCTTAATATTTTCTGAAGGAGTTGTGCTGATTATCTCAGCTGCCAAAGGGAGTGTTCCAATTCTTATTTATGTCGTACGTGTGGTGCGTCATACTTTGATGCAGGTGACTGGTGAGAAAATTCCACGGTCCAAGAAGCTTCCCACCGAGAAATTGGACTGGATACGAATGGGTGTGTGTTTTACACCTGGAATCATTCTCCTGAACTTCCAGAAAAAATTCAACGAGTTGGAGTGACGCAATAAGGGGATTAATAGCACAAGTTTATGATTTTTTATACTCCACTTCTGCTTCACTCAGTTGAATCGTCTGTTGTAGATGGTGTGATCACACAACCTTGTCTGCTAAGCTGCTGCAGGGGATACAACTGATCAATTTATTTGAATGTTTCTCCGTTTGACAATTGTGAATTGGTTATGCCCATAGGTACCACGGTTGCCACGAATGCGTTACTCGAGAGAAGGGGAGAACGAACGGCCCTTTGTGTTACCAAAGTGAGGATAAAACCAGTTCGATTGTCTCGCAAGCTGAAAGTCAAGTTGGGCTGTTCTGTTAAACGCAGACAATCATCTGAATTTGGAACGGTAGAATGTGGCTTGTGGGTGTAGTGCCATATCTATCTTAAAGGTTGTTTCTATCCTATTAACTTCTCTGATCCACTTGTTTGTAGGGATTTAGAGATCTCTTACGAATTGGCAATCAAGCACGACCAAAAATATTCGACCTCACAGTAGCAGTACCTTCTACATTGTATTGGTCTTTGCTCGGATCTTTCAATTCATTGCACACTTCGCTTTCCATGCGACTTCTTCGAGTTTATCGACTAGACAATATTTGGACCAATTTTAAATAAATATCACAGCGACCTTGTTGATTAGAACTGTCTAGGAAAAGCTAGTCATATTTTACCTCTGAGAAGTTTTTCAAGTCTTATTGATACCTTGCGAGAAAGGTTATGAGTTATTTTTTAAAGGAAGAGTCTGTCGAGAACATATCTTGCCCGAAGTTCGATAATTGCTCCCACATATTGTAGTTGAATGAAAAGCTTATCACGTACATGGTATACAAACCAGATACGAGGAGGTTATTGAAGTCGATGAGCGCATCCAGCTTGCTTTAACCGGATCTCGATCTCCTATAGACGGCAAACACAAAACAGTGAAAGGACTCTCTGGTGAATATGTGGAAGTCGTTAAACCGCTCGACGAGGAAAGCCTGAAGCCAAACCTACAGGTTTGTAACTAGCGAGGTCCTGAGTACTCAGGAAGATTGACTAGTTTCAGCAAAAATTGTTATATTAGCTTTTTCAAGTCTCTACACAATCATTGGCATTAGAGGTTCTGATCCCAAACGATGTTCCATTCTGGTGTGCCTTAATGTTATCGTTTCGGTTTGACAGGCACTTCTTGACAAAGGAATCCAAAGTCTTGCAGTTGTCTTCCTTCATTCCTATACCTACCCAGTGCACGAGCAGGTAATGGACTGTTTCTATCTCCTGATTCTTCTGTTTGTTACAGAGTGTTGGCACAGGGTTTTATGGAGTTCTGCGGATTGTTTTGGTTGCACAACTGCCATCCAAGGAGCCTTGTGGATTAGAGTATGGAGTGTATTCTGAGAATTTGTTCAATTTGAGGCTATCAGGCAGACCGGTCAACTTTGCACCACATTTAAAACTTCCATACGTTGTCCACATTGATTTGACCAGAGGTTCGGATTACTTGGATAGTCTAAAACATAAGTCGATCCTAGTCTTCCTGGATGGAGTATGAATCTGTGGGTTAGTGAGAAACTCTTTTTTTCCCCTACAATTATGCCTTAGTTATCAAAAGTATAGTTCTTCCGTGCCTTGCAACACTTTTATGTAAACTGGAAGGGAATATAGGATGTGGAGCGCATCGCCAAAGGGATGGGATTTAAGCAGGTGTCGATATCATCCGCTCTTATTCCGATGGTTCGAGCTGTTCCTAGGGGTCTGACTGCAACTGTTGACGCCTATTTGACCCCAGTCATCAAAGAATACCTTTCCGGCTTTCTGTCAGGTACTCGAGAGTGAACTAGATTAAGTTGAGTCGGAAAGTCGGTATATTATGGTTGAAGAGTCTTTTCTATACTGTTCATACTTCCGTATTCAAGTTCCTATGCAGTTTGTTGAATCTCAATGGCCAGTTTCTTTTGTTACCGCCACCGATCTTACATTAGTGCCATCAGCTATTATTTGTGATCAATACTTTTCTCTTTCTCTTTCTCTAATTGGCTGCACTTTGGATCAGGATTTGATGAGGGACTGGATAAAGTATCTGTGTCTTTCATGCAATCTGATGGAGGCCTTACCCCCGAAAGTCGTTTCTCGGGACATAAGGTTAGAATTCTTGGAATTGCTATTCTTATGTTGCAAGTTTTGTCTTTATAAGAGGATTGATCACTTGTTGGAGAGATGACTAGTCGAACCAATCTAGAAGGTAGCCATATTTTTTTGTAGGAAACAAAGATGACAGACTGTTTGCAAATCTTTTCCATTCAGGCCATTCTATCAGGACCAGCTGGAGGTGTTGTTGGTTATGCGCGGACAACTCATGACTTGGAAACCAAGCAACCGGTCAGTAGTCTTCACAGTATTTAAATTCTTAGAATACTGGATCTCTCTTCGCTAATTAGGAACAAAGTATAAGTGGTTAAATGTACCTATTTACTCAAATCGAATGCGAACAAAAAATTATCTATCATGTTTCCATTGTATCAGGCTTCCTTTCATCCATGTTTATAAATCTTGACAGCTGGCTGGCTCACAATTTACACTGCTCCAGATAATAGGATTTGACATGGGTGGAACTTCAACCGACGTTAGCAGATATGCTGGTAGCTACGAACAGGTCTTGGAGACCCAAACAGCAGGGGTTATCATTCAGGTAGTTCTCAGCCTTGACTTAATTTTGCCTCCATGGTTTCCTCTAGATGGCGCGAAATGCATGTTTGGTAAGATGAGAGCACCTTCTCATTTCAGTAATATCAGCTACTCCAGTTTACATTCCTATATGGGCAGAAGTAAAGATAATGTTATCTCGAATCGGGAAAGTTCACAAAACTACAGGGAACCAAATAAGGTTTACAAGTCCATTGCAGTCAGTCCGTTAATGCTGATTCAGTTTAACTTCGACTTCATAGGCCCCGCAGCTGGATATTAACACAGTGGCAGCGGGTGGAGGATCAAAGCTCAAGTTTCAAGCAGGAGTCTTTAAGGTATCTTCCGTTTTGCCAGCATGGAACTTTGAACGAAGTCAGTGATTTCTACCTGACGTCTAACTATTAGAGTTCCTGTCTTTGTTGGATCTTGTTATGTCTCGTCGAACTGATGTTGCTTCTTTGTAATCAGGGCAAATCTGCTTGATATCTCACACTAAGTAACAGCTTGCAAATACCTCATGCGTTGGTAAAAAATGGATGAATTTGCAGGTAGGTCCAGAATCAGTTAGTGCTCATCCTGGACCAGTGTGCTATCGAAAGGGTGGACAGTTGGCTGTCACTGACGCCAATTTGCTACTGGGGCGAGTCATACCTCAATATTTCCCATATATATTTGGTCCCACGGTAAGCGATTTGTGCACAAGATATTTGCAGTTCTTCCTTCTACGTGTTAGTAATCCAGTTCTCTCACCAATGTTCATCACTTTATAGGAAAACGAGCCCTTGGATGTGGAGGCAACTCGTGCAGCATTTCAAGAGTTGGCGACTTCAATCAATGTCCATCGTCGAGAGCAGGATCCTACGTGTGAGTACCATCTTCCTTCGGACACGTTACCATCCTGGAATATATATATATTTTGGAGGTGTTGCATCGTGTGTAAACTGATGGCTCTTTTAGTCTCGTTGTCGCTGCTGCCTTCGAAAACTGTTCCAGATTTCAAAGGCCACAGTTGCGGTTGATAACGTACTATTTTGATAAGTTTGGCTAGAACTCTCTTCGTTGTCCCTCTGTTTCTTTATGAGGTTAGGTCTTGACAAGGAACGAACCTCTTAAAAAGAAAGAGTTTGAAAAACGCAAGGACTGAAAGCTTGTAAATGTATCAAGTTTACAAATCGTCTTACCGCTTGATGCTTGCAATCCTGGCAGCTGAAGACATGAGCGTGGAGGCTATTGCTTTAGGATTTTTGGATGTAGCCAATGAGGCAATGTGCCGGCCCATTCGTCAGGTTTGAATTCACATCCTTTTTAGTACTATTCGAAATTAAGAGATGAAGTTTTCCATTACCCATTTACGGGCCAATATATTTTCAAGAACAATATACGTGCCAATATTTCAACAATTATGTTCAAATGATGAATTGGTTTTCTTAAATTCATAGTTTTGAGGCTGTAATTACCTAAAGCATGAATTTTTGTTTATAGTGTCCAAGCACAGATTGATCTAACGGATAGACGAAGATTCACTGCAAGTATTTTCTTCGTTGTACTATATTATTTCTTGTGTCCTGGCAGCTCACCGAGATGAAAGGTTACGAGACCAGCAAACATGCACTAGCCTGCTTTGGTGGAGCAGGACCGCAACACGCATGTGCTATTGCTCGCGCTCTTGGAATGCGTATGCATCTTACCTATCCTTTACTTTTGTGCTGAGCTGACTCAATTTCCATCGTCAGATACTGATACGGCTTGGTAATATTACAGCATGTGTTGTTATTCTAGTACTACTTTTATTCTCGAGAGTAACAATCCATTCTGTGATTGATCTCAGGCGAGGTTGTGGTTCACCGATACTGTGGAATTTTAAGTGCATATGGAATGGGCCTAGCCGACGTAGTTGAAGAAGCACAAGAACCTTTTACGGCAGTTTACGGACCAGATGCTATGAAAGAGGTCATGAAGCGCGCGTCTGCTCTAACTGAGGAGGTTAAGAAACAGCTTAGAATTCAGGTATGTATGTATGTATGTATGTGAGCTGTTGTATACACATGGTTATCATGGTTATGTTCACCATTTACTACAAAAGTTTAGCACAGTTCTGACCAATTTTTTTTTGGTAACAGAAATTCAAAGATAATGATATCTCCACAGAATTGCTTCTCAATCTTCGCTACGAGGTGTGTAGCGTCAAGCCTTAAAATAAAATCATGATTCAACAGTGGTGTCATAAGTTCAAGTTGCGTTCTTTATCTAGCTTAGATTTGCATCAGAAATGGCCACCCGAGTTTTATGAATTGGCTTAGAAAAAGAGTTCCTGACTTAATTCTTTCTTAGACTTCGGATGTCGATTCATTCTCGTTCTAAATCCAAGTCTTGACTTTGTGCAGGGAACTGACACCGCTATGATGATAAGCGCTCCCTTAGATGGTGGTAATGATTATGCCAAAGAATTTGTGAGGCAGTTTCGAAGAGAGTAAGTTCATATTACCTTCCTAAAATTTTACTTTGCAAACTAGATAATGAGACTACATACTACCAAACCCATTGTGATGTGAAATAAACTTATTTGATATCAAGCGAAGTATATAATTACCTCCCATATATGATGGAAGTATGGCCTCTCTTTGTCTCATAAAAACTTGAGGAGAGGATTTTGCCCCCCACGTGCATAATATTGAAGTTTAAACTTATATCTGAAGTGTTTTGATCGTGTAGTTGAATCTAGATGTTACTTTTTGTTGTTGCCGTTGCAGTTCTCAATGTACAGTTTGTGGATACAGGTATGGCTTCGAGTTGCAAAGGAAAGCAATTCTAATTAGTGATGTAAGAATTCGAGGAACTGCCGTCACCAATATTTTGAGGTATGGATCGGATTACGATTTTCCCTTCTTTTCGGATTCTGAATAATATCTACCTTGTATCGGATAATTCCGTCCTTTGTTATCAATAATTACTGTACAGTCCCGACCAACCGTGGTTGTTAGGGAAGTACTCTATTAGCCGTATTTGATAGTTTCTTGTCTTGCATGTATGCAGGCCTGTCGTTTTGGATAAGGCTGTTGGTGAGCCTGAAGCTGAAAGTACTTTACATAAAGTTTTCTTTGGAACGGGTTGGCATGATACTCCGGTACTTGACCTTCTCCTAATCCCAGAAGTTTCCACTCATGCGCTAATTTCATGTCTTTATTGCTCTCTCGACTCCTATAATCTATGCTCGTGTATCAAAGCGTGAGTTATGTTTGTTGAACTCCCTTCCAAGCCGTTGAATGTAGCGGAGTGATAGTTTATACCTCGTAGGCAATCAGGCTTGAGCTTACTTGAAAGCCTCGCTTGAGTTTTTGAAACCCAATAGTTAATTTGGATCCTGGAAAAGCTTACTCATGTAATGAAGTTATCGCTGTGACAAGTCAATTAAATAATTTTATTCAGGTAATTAGGAAGTTTCAGAGTTGCCAATGGCAATGATTGATTTTATAACTCACAAGTGCTATCTGTTTTGATTGTTTTGATTTGTTTGTTGCATATAGATTTTCATGCTGGAGAAACTTGGATATGATCATTCTATCGCAGGTCCGGCAATTATTATGAATGGTAACAGCACGGTAAGATGTTCAGATCAATGGACAGACTACAGCCCACATGCATGATTATAAGGTCTCTTTTATTTCTAAAAAGGTGTATATTCTTTCCTCTTGTATATAAGGAGTTATTCAAATATCTTGAGCCATGCATTTTCTGTTGGATTACAGATTGTGGTGGAGCCCGATTGCAAGGCTTTCGTCACTAAGTACGGTAATGTGCGCATTGAAGTTGGTACTAGTACGGGTCAGACAGTGGACACAAAAGCGGATGTGATACAACTCTCCATATTCAACAATCGGTTTATGGGCATTGCTGAGCAGATGGGTCGGACTTTGCAAAGAACTTCAATATCTACCAATATTAAGGTCAGAATCCACGTCTCTGCAACAAGTTCTTGCCCAGCGCTTAGTTTACTTTATACTTCCCACAATCCTGCTCTGATTTCTGACAGGGGTTAAAAGTTCTGACAAACAATGGCGTTCACTGTCAGGAACGCTTGGACTTTTCTTGTGCATTGTTCGGTCCAGATGGGGGCCTCGTGGCAAATGCTCCCCATGTTCCCGTGCACCTTGGAGCAATGTCAAGTACTGTGCGCTGGCAACTTGAGTACTGGTAAGCTAGATGAACGGTTAAGTCATGTCAAGAGGCAGTCATTCATTAAGGAGGTTCGGGCTGAACACCTGTCACATTGGTTTGGATCAGCTTTTAACATGAATGCTTGGCAAACCCATGCAGGGGGAGCAACTTGAAAGAGGGTGATGTTCTAGTGACTAATCATCCAGCTGCAGGAGGAAGCCATCTTCCAGATATCACTGTTATCACTCCAGTATGGGCCTCGAACCGCTCCTGATTTATAAAAATCGAGTTGTAGTATTTTAGATGCATTTATTACCTTTTAACTTGAATTTTATGTCAATTTATCAGTTTCAGGTTCTTCCTTGTAGAAAGTTTTCAGCATTCGTATGAACTTCTTTCTTGATAATGCTCTAAGATGTCTTGCATGTGAGCACTTGTGATTTCTTTCCCTCATGTTCCTGGACTCATGGTTAAATAGTACATATAACTGAATATCGGAACATAGTTTTTTGTCTTGAAAAAGTTATATCGTCGTATTTGATTTTCAGATTCTTCATATCTTTCTATTTTCTTTTTAAGACTTTTGGTTGTTGCAAATATATCTCCTTGAAGGAATCATGCTTTCAATTTTATATCATCTAATGACAGTTTGTTACCTACATGAACAAATCTTTGTGTAACTTATATGTACAGGTCTTCAAAGATAAACAGCTTATATTTTTTGTCGCAAGTAGAGGGCATCATGCAGAAATTGGTGGTGTGACGCCCGGCAGGTTTGTACCAACTCGTATGAACCTCAATTTACGAAATCCGTAATATTTCAGAGGAGGAACTTTCTAGAACATGGTTCTCTTAACTGTTGAAGTTTTCTTGGTTTCCCCCCTATTGCAGTTTGTAGCTATATTGAAGGCTTCACATGTGGAAACAGTATTTCTTCATAAAGATAGTCAATAATATGCTCGGAAGGAGATAGTCACAGAATGCGTCCTAAAATAATTTTCCATTCCTACGACGTGCTTTTTACTTGCTCTCAATTATGAAAAAAATAGCTGATTAGTATGATGTGTTAACCCGTTGCTCACCTGTGAATTGGGTTGTAACAGCATGCCTCCGTTCTCAAAAGCTATTTGGGAAGAAGGAGCAGCCATTAAAGCCTTTAAGTTGGTGGAAAATGGCGAATTTCAGGTACTGTTGAACATATGTTTCAATCTCGGCGGCCTTCTAGATCCAAACTCAAAACGAGTTCTGTTCCAGGGTTTAGGGTTTAGGGTTTAGGTTTTTGTGCAGAGTGCAAGTGATTTGTGCATACTCAATCTGACTATCTGTTCTAATGGCCATTTATGTTTTCATATATCTTTCGCGGGAGACTTTGCAATCATCGACATCTTTAGATAAGATTGAGCTGGTGTCAGTCAATAAGAAAATGCAGTTCATTAGACAATATATTTTGAGCAAACCTAGGGTTTATTTTATCTGATGCGCATAGTAACATTGACTCTTGTCAATGTTACTATGCTTGTTAGTATGTCCACGAACTGACGAACATAGTTTCGAATACACACGTGGATCAAAATTCTCTGTTGATTCTGGCAACAGGAGGATGGAATTCGTAAAATTTTGGAGGCAGAGACCATTGATACTGAGGGAGAAAACAAGGATGGAAAAGCTCGCGTAGTCCCAGGCACCCGGAGGGTAGAGGATAATCTGTCTGACCTGAAAGCTCAGGTAAGTCTTACCTTATTTAAGAATGTTCCTGTTGCAAATTCCAGCAGTTTGACGATGTCAAAAGTGGTCAATTTGGTTACTTGTGTATGTATTAAGCGAATGGGTCAGACTTACATACGTCAATGTTACAGTAGCTTTGAAGGACACATGTTGTCCTTGAATTCAACCTTTTCTTCCGTTATTTCTCTTGCTTCAACATGCATGGCTTAATATCTACTAACCAATCCTTCCCTTGAAACCCTACCAATTGTGGGACTAGTCTTGTAGTTTTTCCCTTCTGCTTTGGTAGATGCTCTCCGTGTTCATTTAGGTTTTGTTCTTTGTGTGACAGTCTTTTCAACGTTCTTATGATCCCATGCGTCACCATGTTTCTTTTCTCTACTCTCATTTAAGCAAAGCGCTTGGATGTGACGCAGTTGTGAACTGGATGTTGACATTGCTATGCTCATACAAAGAGGAATTTATTGGATACGATCATAACAGTAGAAAGCACCATTTTCACCTTAAGCTTTTCATCGTCGTCAGTATGGTGCAGCTTTACCAAAAGAGTAAAGCTGCACCATAGCATAGACCCAGCATTCTTATCAATGTGCAGATTGTAAATTCCTAATTGCATCAAATACTTCAATTGCAGGTGGCCGCTAATCAGAGAGGAATAGTATTGATTGAGGAGCTCATAGCTCAATACAATCTTGAAGTGGTCCAGGCCTACATGCACCATGTTCAGGTTCTCCTCCTGTGCTAACGTTTTTATTGAACAGAAGTCAAGAAGTATCTTTCTCTGATCATCTTCAAGGTTTGGAATGTTGTTTAATCCAGATTATGCGTCATGTGGCACATGTTTGCACCATATTCCCGTCATGACGTGTGGAAGGATATGCACAGGCAAATGCCGAGGCGGCCGTTCGGGAGATGTTGAGAGAGATGGCCAAAGTGGCTGGCAAACAGTCTTCGTCTGCGAAACACGGGGACCATGTGGTTGTTGAAGCTGAAGATTACATGGATGATGGATCTATCATACATTTGAAATTAGATATCAATGTAAAAGAAGGATCGGCGCATTTTGACTTTGACGGGACAAGTCCTGAGGTAAAACACATCATATATCCGAGGATGCATCGCAGTATGATGAGTACTTGATCACGAATGTAAAACATTGTCAGAATACTTCAGTTACCATGTGAAAGGGGATGTACATGAGGGCTGTTAACGATTTCAAGACACGAGGACCTTTCTATGTTTTCGAGCCCTATGTTTCGATATTCTGAAGTCTGTTTCAGCAGTTGATTCGTACATCTTCCAGCTATATCACCAGTAGTGCCTGATGCTCCTATTGAGTCTACTGGATTTTCCACTTCACTGACTTCACTGCTGCATTTTGTATTCTTTGCAGGTGTACTCTAATTGGAATGCTCCAGAAGCAGTAACAGCTGCCGCAATAATCTACTGCCTACGTTGCCTGGTAATAGTCCTATCTTGGATTGTAAGCGACGTCGAGGCAGCCCGAAGCTGTATGTCTTCAGTGTTTATGGAAACAGTGTTTTCGTGTATTGGAGCTTGCTCTTCACAGTCGAGAGTGTGGAGGGCAAGCTCAAAACATTGCTGCACTGCGGTCGGATCTATTTCTAAAGTTTTTCTCAGTTTTTGTCTCTCCAGTCGTAATGTACTCATCTGCTATTTGGTTTACTCCACAAATTCGAGCTATTTATGACATGATGTTTATTCAAAAGCTGGCGGCTATGGATAGAAATCTCTTAGTCCACCGTAAGCTTTGAACCACCTTCATGATAAAGGTAGCTAAACAAATATCTTCCAACTGACATATTGAAATCCTGGCAGGTTGATGTAGACATTCCCCTCAATCAAGGTTGTCTCGCACCCGTGACCATAAATATACCTAAGGGTTCCTTTTTATCACCGAGTGATAAAGCTGCCGTTGTCGGTGGAAATGTCTTGACATCTCAGCGCGTGACTGATGTAGTGCTGAATGCATTCAAAGCTTGCGCCTGCTCTCAAGGGTGAGTCGCATATTCCATGTTCTAACTGGCAGCTTTGCTTGGCTAAAGGACTTGATACGATACTAGAGTGAGATACGCAGTGCAGGCACAAACATGAATGACAAGTTTTCCTTCTTTCATTGACGCTAGAAAAAAATCAGTGTCCATCTATTTGAAATCTAAAGTGTCAGATACGGCTGTCGTGTTAACTTGTGAAGACGGCTCTTGGCTTGGTCGCAGGTGCATGAATAATCTCACATTTGGAGATAGCAGTTTTGGATACTATGAGACAATAGGAGGTGGAAGTGGAGCGGGACCTACATGGCATGGCACGAGTGGAGTCCAATGTCACATGACCAATACCCGCATGACAGACCCAGAAATCTTTGAACAACGCTATCCGGTGAGTAGTTCGTTTACTACCTCTGTCGTCGTTTGATCCCGTCCCCTCAAAGGATCAGCTTGCTTTGTCGCTGCAGGTGTGGCCTATACAACCAGATGATTGAATCTTGCATCTTCTGTCGTGTTTAGCTGTATCTAGATCATAATCTCTTTATCAACCCTTAAGTCTACTTTTTGGTTCTTCCAGGACATGATATATGGACTCTGTGAATGGAAGGCCTCACCCTGTTTTATAAATTTATGTTTTGCATCCCAATCAGGTGTTACTCCACAGATTCGGACTAAGGGAAGGTAGTGGTGGAGCTGGAAGGTTTAAAGGAGGTGATGGGATTGTTCGAGAGATCGAATTCCGGAGACCAGTGACAGTAAGCTCAAAGCCTCTATATAATTGAACCAGCGTAATCAGCTTGTCAAGTTGCATACGGCGCAGATTATTCCTACGTGCATAGATATAAGTGTTATGCGCTCTAGACAAAGCATCCTCTTGATTAATCTTGACTGCCTTTTTCCTTGCAGGTTAGCATTCTGTCCGAGAGACGTGTACATGCACCTCGGGGTCTTGCAGGTGGGGAAGACGGAGCTAGAGGCCAGAACTTATTGTTCAAGGCAGATGGGAGATGCGTTTACCTCGGAGGTCTGATCAATATCACCACCTCCTCTTGCAGTCTGATTTGCCTTATTCAAACCTATTTCTACGAAGTCTAGCCATATTTTAGCCAGTTTTTCGAGGTTCCGAAGTTTTTTGCAGTTTTCATCAACTTGGTGTTATTTGTTTGCAGGGAAGAACTCGGTGCATGTAGAAGCAGGGGAAAGAATCAAAATTATGACTCCTGGTGGCGGTGGGTATGGACCCTCGGACTCGAAGTAGCTCAGAACATGACGTGGATAGAACACTTATTTCACAAAGTGTTTGGACCTTTTATTCATAAAGGATAGTTCCATTAATCTGAAATCCGATTGACATTCGATGATCTGACATAGCGTTACTTATGCATCAATAAGTTTGGAGAAGACTAGAACATCTAGAAATATGGTTTTTGTTCATAGGTCTTTGAGTAAGCACTAGTTTGGAGGAACTGCAAGCTATATAATTACGTCAAACCTAGTCTGTATATCACATCACGTTATATTTTGTGTATCTCACATTTCCATGTATAGATAGATATAAATAATTTCAAAATACTAAAAGTAGAAATGTATTGAATTATGAAATTATTGAATGTTTGAAGAACCTTATGATAGTATTAATTATGTATACTCAAATTTATTAAAACTAAATAATTCATCTCACATATGCACAAAAAATATATATTTTAAAATATATATTTTTATCATAAATTGATATATTTGTACTAATTGCTTCCGTTTATCCATCTCATTCTGAATAGTAGATATTAAATTTGTAAATCGTATCATCAAATTATATAATTCAATTTTGTAATAATTTTTAAATTTTGCGTGATTCTATAACACAACATGATAGATTGATGTTAAGACATATTATTGTATAACGAATATATATATATTATATCTAATGTTGTTCTTAAATTTTTGATATGAGGGGTAATTGCATTGCATAAATCCAAAATCTAAATATTAAAAAAATTTAAACATTGATAGGAAACTGTAATTATTGAATTGTACCTAGACAATTTTATTTCTTTATTTGAAATTTTCTAAGGTAGATTTGTAACGGAACACCATTTGTAAGCCGCGATTTTGATGTACCTGCGCTGATGTAAACAATAAAATTTTTTTTACAGCTAATTAATCCAAAAGAACAAGAATTGTGTATCTAAATTTGTCAACTTGTGTTGGAGTTTATTTGTTTACTTGGTTAATCTAATCAAAGTCCATCTCTATCAACAAGATGTTTCTTCAAAAAATGTCATATCAATTACCTGGTTCACATGACATCACATATGTATTTCATTGAAAAAATCCATTTCAATCAATGGCACACACTTCCAAATGCAACCACAAATCACACCGATATATTACCGTGTATTTGATTCTGTATTTTATGAAAGCTGTCATGCAATTCAGTGATCAAAACGCCAGTTTGATTACAAACAACGTCAGTACAAAAGTAGGATGCAAAGCTATGGGAATGTATCAAGAGACTTTAAATATTAATTATGACAGTCTGAAAGAGGTTGTCTGGCTTGTACACAATCTTCAAGATTTCAAGTTAGTTTTAATTCTAGGAAATGGAAAATCCGTACGAAATACGAGCATGGAGGATGAAAAGCCAATGCACGCAAATCTTGTCAACTGTTATGAAAATTTAAACGTGCAGGATACATTCTATGTCAACTGTCCATGCAACACAAAAATACCAAACGGAATACACACGTGTACCACTCTCAAAATACATTTGCTTAACAATATAAGCCGATGGTCATCACGAGTCATCAGGGCATTCAACAAATAGAGTGTTTTTAAACGCAGTAGATTTTGCTGTTGATATGACGTCGCTGCTGAACAATCGGCCTTGTTCCATAAACTAGACCGATGCATCCAGATATTATGCTTTTAGGGCAAAATAATTGATGTATTGATGCCTCGGGTCACTGCACCTGATCATTTAAACGGGTGGTGTGTACGCATCTCACTGGTTTCATTCATCCCACAATGCCACCCCAACCCACATTCATGATGATTTACCCACCGACGGACTGTTCCCGTGATGGACACTTCTACATCCACACCTATTCAGAAATGTATTCTGAATGACAGTCCGAAAGACAAGCAAGACGGCCGGCAATCGAGACATGAACATTCACATTTTGACAATGTTGATGATGTAAATTAACAATCTGTCCCAGTTGAAGCGAAAAGCTGTAGAGTAGCGATTTGTATGCTGGCCAAATCTGATAACAACCCCGGAGGTCAGTAGAATGAAATTTATCACCTTGGAAGTAAATTTCAAGGTGATAAATTTGAGGTCGACTTACTTATACGGCAACTTAACTCACCACAACAAAGGTGGAGATTATTTGTACTCCTACAGACTAGTGAACCGCGAAGAATATACAGAAGACAACAACCGTCGTTGTATGCCATACTCAGAGCTTAAAGCCTGTAATCACTAAGAAAAGTGATCAAGCACAACTTGCTTGAGTCAAAGTTATTGCAGATTTTGTGAGACCGAATGGTGAAATGAAATTTTCTGTTTCATACTACGGTACTGAAGATGTCAAATGACAGCATTTCTTACCAGTAAATAAATAATGGACACCTAGAATGATAAGAGCTGAGCTCGAGGTCACCTATTTAAGATAGGAAATTCAAATAGATTCCATCAGCCAAAATTGCATGTACTTATTGTGGACTTTGGACACCTGTAGGAGTGAGCGTGGAAGCATTAAGCCTGTACGAGACTACTGGATGCAAGCTACGGTCCAGTTTACCTCGAGCTCTCGTTGAGCAGAGGTTTATGGTGATCAGTCGTTTATTGAATTCCACTACATTGCAGGCCAAACGAATGGTTGATGAACATGGAAAAAGCTACGGCAACTGTATTAACTGTGGGGTTACAGCTTTCCGATGAAGGTACGGAAATACACATGTGTTGCATAATACAAAAACGTACACGCTGTTGACTCCAAAGGAAGAATCTTCATGAGTACTTACGTCGATTAATTGCACAGCCACTATTTCTCCACTGCGTAAGTAAAGGGGACATTAAAACTTGGCATTTATACGAACACTCATTACAGAACATCAGTTCTGAGACAAATGAATGAAATGTGTGAGTTTGCTTTCCTCGTCGTCTAAATTACAATACTATTACAATGAAAAATTTAGTACAGTAATGTCGGGGTTACCGCAATATTAAAATTTCCCAAAATAATACATGTATTGATGTGGTCAGCTCAAGCATATGGGACTATTGCTCACACCCATGACTGCAAATAAATTATCGTCACACGAGAGTTTCTCTCTCCATTATACGAAAGCTGCTGTTGATGATGGATGCGGTGTCGCAGTTTCTAGGTTTCCAGCAAAGTTTAACGAGGGAAAGCCGAGAGGGAGCAAGCAGTTATTCATGATTGAAAATCACATGAGTCTTTCTTGTCTCAAGCTTGTATGGGCCCCGATTCCAAAGGCGCGGATCGATGGATCAGGCATCACATAGGCAAGAAAGAACTTTCGCAATGATGTTGAGAATGATGGCCAGAACATTCTTCCAACAGAGATCAATAACATGCAATGTGGATGTGCACCTGAGCACGAATAGGGGCTCCATTGCAGTAAAAATAAGAAGCAGCTGCAGATGGGGACTGCAGTTGTACTCTAATGAATCATTGGTGTTGACTCCAGCTTCTGTAGGCTCAAGAAACTTTCAAAAGATGAGCCAGGAGAGTAATTGTCCACATGAGGCAGGGAAGCTCCCGAACTGAAGTGACCTCGGATGTATGGCCGGAAAGGCGGTCAGAGACCTCGAGTCCAAGCACGGAAGCAATGAAGCATGTCAAAATGGATTTTTATTTAATTTTTGGAGCTTGTACTTGAGCGCTATGTAGAGTGACTTCAAGCGTTGAACACAGTCTAAGTCCTGCCCAATCAGTATTGAAAAGTCAAGCCGGATAGAGCATCAAAAGTACTAAGTTGAGCTGCTGCTGTCGCAGTTTGGGACGGTGCATAAGATGATTGTCTCCAGTACTGAGCAGCGGACGGCATTTTCGCCATTGGACAGCTTTCTCCATCCGCATGCTGCACTTTGGTGAATCTGGAACGCTTTAGGCTGTACGTGTTAGATAGTGGTGGTATACTACAAGCGTTAACGAGACTCTGGACCTGGTCCTCGAGCTGAGATATGGAGGAAGCTGAGATATTGCTCCGGTTGTTGATCGCTGTAGGACCAGAGACAACAGTGTTAGCGTCGGCGTTACTACCCTCTTCAAGGCTGTGAGAAGTTGTTGTCGTTGATTTTGTTGAAGGACAGGAGTTCACGTGGTGATTGAAAGAAGGTGGGATGGAGACCCTCGGCGTTCTGCAGGTTGGGTGGCTCTTTGCGGGGGCGAAAGCAGCCACTGTCTCAGCGCTTGAGCTTCTGTTCGATCGTGCTACCGTGGGGATATCTCGGGGAGAGTTCATCGGTTGATTCAAGTGATCAGGAGCTTTTGTCGGAGGTACTCTACTGGTGTGACTATTGTTGAATGTAGCTGTAGCTGCTGCTGCTGCTTCCGGGCTAGGGCTTCTCATCACGTGTACACTCGTCGAAGGACAAGCAGCAGCAGCAGCAGCATCCTGCACCAGTCGGTTTCGAAAGCGTCCAAATATGCCTGAGCCATTACTGTTTAATGAGTCTCCATCGTTGAAGTTGACGTTCGATGAGCTTCCCGCCCCATCCAGCTTTGCCATAGCCTGTTTACAACCGATCCAAAACTGGGTCAGTACACAATAAGCATTTCCTGTGCTGTGCAGCTACAACACCTCACATCCGAAGTATCAGTCGAGGTCGTTGAGGAACTAGTGAGTTTGTTAGTCCACACTTCAGCAGCTCAATAGGAACGGTAAATCGTAGGAATTCTACTACCGTACTTCTAAAATCAGGAAACATTGAAGTGTAACAGACATTGATTTATCAGATCCATCGAGTTCTCTGCCTTATTGATGAGATCGTCAGGGGTTCCATCCTCTTCAAAACGATAGACATAATTTCAAAAGGCAACTATTGTAGAGAAAGTTTGACATTCCCTGCTAGCGCTATTGTAACGAGGATCTTTGTACGAGCGCATGTAATCAGAGGTGTGATAATGCTCGCCGAGTACAACAAATCTAGACCGTTCGTTCAGAAAAAATCCTCCATTTTGACCCCAAACTGCTAATCGGTAAACAAGCCGAGGATCCCGAGATGAACGTACATATATTAAGTCGCGATTTGCTAACAAGTATCAGATCTCTAAAACCAACGGCGATAAATCCTATTCTTAGCTTGCTGTTATACGGGCTTCGGGATCTCTCTGACTTAGGCGCATACTGTATATAGTTTCTCATTCAGTGATCCTGGAGCATTGATTTTCTGTTGAAACCCCTTCGAATTATCTGCTTACGTTGAAGTCAGTCTTTACGTATTCGCCGAGTTTTGGCCAAGACTGTCCAAGGAGACCTCAGCAAAGTAAATCAGATGCTAATGTCCAGCTTGGCGGATAATGCATTATTTTTGGGCTTCAGACTCAGAATTAGAAGGAATTGACCAGTAGACACGAGTTTGATCTAGTGCTAGTACAACCATGCACGCAATGTATTAGAAGACCAAATGTGTTGAAGGTTGTAGTTCATTCAGTAATATACGTTAATAGCGGAATCTCCAGGGTCGCGCGTGCTGTTTGGACATAAAATCAAGTCCTTGAGAATGAGCAACACCTGGCGCTGTTATTTAACAGGAAAAACAGTTAGGACCAAGAATCTACTCTCGTGCTTTAACATGGACTAGCTATACTTACTTAAAGACTCCTACTTTCTCATTACGATCTGACTCGAGAAGAGCTCCATGAAAGTAGCAGACTTTTCAGACCAAATGCAAGCTAAATATATCTAATGACAGCTAAATATATGTCATCACTTCATTCAATGCTACTCACAGAATATACCAGCAAGTAAGGAGTGCTGACGGGATACTTTTAACCTCGATAATTTTAGGCCTCCATAGGCAGTCCAGATTGAAGATGAGCAAGACAAGAACATAGCCTATACTCCTGATACCATCAGTTAGGATGAGGAGAATGACTTCCTCTGTTTGTGTCGACCACCCAGCAACATCTAGCTGCTACATTTCTACAGGGAGGTTGACCATGAGGCTGGGTTGCATAGTTGAGAAGAGCAAAATCAGTACTCGAGTAATGACAAAACATATTGTCGTCAAGTCATGCATGCTATAGAGCTAAATCAGACTATAACCTCGAGTTGTTACGAAGGCGAGCACTAGATGTATCATTGGCGAACTGTTAGGAAAGTGTGCATGTTGGTGAAGGGATGCAAACGAATTGACGAATAAAGAACCAGCTGTCATCCTTTCACCCTTTCAGTTTTGGCTGGAAATCGGCTTAATCGGCTGGAAAATGATAATCAGGGAGAGTTAGGAATATCTGATCTACGTGCAGGACAAATGGGAAGAAATTCTACCGTGCGCAAGGCGATCTGCAGCTGCCTTGATGCTTCCTCACTCGTAGTTGTACCGGTGCAGTCGATCATAGGTGAAACCCCATCAAAGCCTCCTTGAGCTGGGCCATCGATCAGCTGCTGCTGCCGTTGAGTTTTTGCAGCTTCAACTGCTTGGCCATGGCTCACCACAGTTGTTGTCTTTGAAGTAGACAGCTGCTGCGCACAATCGTTATCAGAAGAAGGTGCAGCAGCTGACAAAGGAGCCATAGGCATGTCCGATGAGACTCGAACGTTCACGTTAGGAACGTCTGGCCCTTGCAAGCGCTGAATATGATTTTGCTGCTGATGGGTTCCTGCTGCAGGATTACTTTCGAACCTAGACATCATTCTATTCGTGCGTTCTTCGAGATCTCGAGCCCCAATTGCTGATATGAAGTTGGCCGAATTCAATGCCGAGCTCGACTTCCTGTATATTCTGCATAAGGCTACATCGTTCTGCAAGAGAAAATAATAAGAACATTAGTAGCTAATGAAAGTCGATGAGAAGCTAGCAAAAGAGCACACTCCATGCTTTTTCAGATTTGTGTCCATGGTGTTCACCATCATACAGCCGCCTCTCACTCGTGCACATACCTTAATGACAAAGTTATCGTAAGTGGAGAAGGAGTAGCTGATAGAGTTGACACCAGACGTCATCACAGAGATGGATCGTTCAGCAGGTTTCGGCATGCGATACTCGTTCATAATCCATTCGGTTTTATTGCCTCGAGGAGCGCGACCAGTATAAAACACTAGAGTTTTTTTCAGACCAATGCAGCGAGAGTCGCCACTACATCTCACAGGCCGATCTGTGCCTGTTGCTTTCCAGTATCCCGATGCTGTCACCCGATTCGGGCGGGCTCCGTTGGGGTATTTCTTATCCCTCGGACAAAAGAAAAACCATTCCTTCTCTCCCATGAAGGCCAAAGCTGCACGCAACAAGCTCAAACGACTATTAGAATTCGAAACATGAAAAGTATGGATGATCGGGGAATGTGTTTTGCTCGCTGGATGCATGGAGGAAGCTAAGATCTCACCAGGAAGCTCCCAAGGATCATACTGGTATAAGTCCAAGGATGCAATGAGCTCTACGCTATTGCGCCTGCCTTGCACCATGCGTCTCAGATAGTAACCAACGAGCTCCTCCTCTGTAGGATGGAAACGAAATCCCGGAAGTGCCATCTCACTCCACTCAGGCACGGCGGTTGGCTCCTCCTGACCTTCTTCTTTGCTCCCAATACTCTCCATCTGAGCTGAATTGATTAACTCCGCATGAGCTCACCAAACTCGGGAACAAACCCTCAGGGAAGACTGCTGAGTTTTGGAGAAAGTTTTCGATCCGAGCAGTGTCTGGAACTCGTGCATGGAAGTAGTTCCTCGACAGATTTAAATGCCCATCAATAAGTAGCGCCCTGTCGCTCACCGGTGCGTTATATCAAACCATCCTGAAGTTATATCAATTTTCTCCCAGCACTTCCACAACTTCCTCTAGAGTGTAATGCTGTGGAGAGTCTAGGAGTACCTCCGTCACTAGAAGACATCAGCAGACAAACAGTCGACTAGAAAGATGGATTAGTAGATCAAACTTCGCGTTTAGAGCGGCACGTGTGTCATATCAGGACCTCTCTCTCTCTCTCTCTCTCTCTCTCTCTCTCTCATAAAGGATAGAAGGTGAAGCTGGTGTGAGAAGAAAGAGCTCGGAGACGAAACAAAGCCATGAGCTGCAGCAACAGAAGCAGAAACTCTAGCAAGTGTTGCTACGGCTTCTTCTTCAATGGGATGCGTGTCGTAGAGAAATGGTTTTCGTACTGATGCGAGTCAGTCGCTCGGTGGGAGCAAGAGCAGCGGCGTTTGTTGCCGAAGGTCGAGACAGATGCCAAAATTGGCCTTACGGTTGTAGTCTGAGTAAGAGAGGGAAGATGGAGGCTGCCCATTTATATGTGTGCACGCTTGGAGACGAGGGGCGTGGATTTCAAAGCCATCGCACCTCGGCCGCGCTGCAATGACGCCGTCATAAACATTCCAGCTCCCTCCTTCCGATGCGTCAGGCGCATACTAAAGGCTAAGCTGGATTGGAGGAGCAAGTACACAGCAGCCTTGCCAGACAGAGCAGACCGACATATAATGATTTGATCAAGTTCAAGAGTTGCAGCCTTCTTAACTGGCTGCCTCCTTGCTAGACATCGAGTCTGGACTCGCTGTCTATTTCTCTCTATTTTTCTCGGACGAAGGTAGCGCCAAGGGCAGGGGCAGGGGCGACAGAAAATATCTAATCGACATGCTAAAACACCACCAACTCAGACAAGACAGGACAAAGGCCGGAACATGGATGGATTATTAGAATTTGGAAACGGTTGTCCATACAGTAGACAATACAGAAGGGTAAGAAGTGGGTACCACGATCGCGGGAGAGAGAGAAAGGAAGGAGGAGGAGGAGGAGGAGTCCAGAGGACAGTCTCCAGGTATACAGATGCTGCAAGTCAAACCGGCTTTGTCATTATGGCTCTGAGAGATGGCTGGTGCCGGCAGGCAGAACGTTTCTACTCTAGATCAAGTGTCAGAGCTTTACTTCTTTCCTGCTTCCAGATCTGGAAGTCTCAGTGGGATCGCTTCCGAAAGCTCAGGTTCCAACAAAACTTCTTAGCCTCTCCGGCAGTTTCTTTTCTTCTGCTTCGTACACTGGACAGCAGCAGCAGCTGCTGAACACCGCCTTGGGCAGGGTGTCAAAGAAGAAACATCCAAATTCGGATTTATCTCGTTCAACGCTGAAGAGGCATGAGTGGGCTGGGCCTCCCTAGGGAAGGAGAGGTCAGAGATTGTGAATTTTGTCGCATGATGGTGCTGGTGCTGTGACTTCGTTTCTGCGGCCTCTTAGCTCATCTTCACAGCAGCAGGTACTCTGGAATCCTTTCTTTTTCAGAACTTGAGGTACATGACCCAAAGGCGAGGAGTAGGGGCGAGTCCCCATGAGAGCATTCCCCAAAAAGCCTCAGATCTAGGGTCTGCTATCCTCATATATCCGCTGTACCAGAGGGTATAATCGTATATCCTTCCCATCTTCGAGTAAAGCAGAAGTCATAATATATTTCGATCCATCGATTACATCTCCAAATAGACAGACGTCCGGTATCAATTCTTCTTGCAGTTCTACTTTGGGCTCCCTGCTGTACTCATACTCACTCGTCTCGTACCCACTTGTAGATAATTGGAGGAAGGAAGGAAGGGAGGAAGGAAAGCCGGCACATGAAGACTTGCCTTGGCTGAAGTACCTATGAAGGCCTGCATCTACCCGAGCCAGGAGACAGCGACAGCAGTCGATCAGAAGGGTCGGATCCATGGGCAGGAGTGATCCCTGGGGACAAAAAAGACAGACAGATAGCAGAAGATTTAATTTTCAGAGGCGCCATATGAGCTTGCAAAATCCTCCAGTGTCTGGAGGTCATAATCGGATCTTGTCGCCACCTTTTGGCAGAGGCGAGTCATACTTGGCAAGCGGACCAAATCTCACGCGTCGAAATACTCATTGCCCACATAAATTAAAGGGAGATGCAGTAAGGAGCTACATTCGTAGCACCAGAGAGAAGAAGATGGCTCTGGAGCGAGGAGGACGATCAGAAGGGGCGGGGGAACCTCCACCATCTTGACATATTGTACGCATGTCCGCAGAGTTTTCATCTCTACTTTTTGCGCAGGATGGAAGTTATGGTGGCAGCAGGTGAATTAGTTCTCTGCAGCTGAACCCTTGACCCAATTATTTCAGGGACTTTCATTGAATATCCACATGCGCCACAGCTGTGCAACATTGCGGGAGGCATCGAGAGGGCCAGGACGTCGAAGAGGAAGATGAAAAACTCTCAACGGTAGTCATTGAGTTTCGGCGGGCTAACCTCACCGGGGCCTCCTCCCTCCTCCCTCTCTGGCAGTCGATGCAAGCAAGCGCCAACATGAGCAGGCCTACCTAGCTCCTAGCTCCGGTCAACATGCTGAGAAACACTTAAAAACTTGTGCCAACTCTCTTTTACAAAAGGCTGCGCTAGATAACGCTACAGAACTGCTGCTGCTGCAGTCAGATTCCAACTTGGGGCTCAGTCAGTGATTCTCATCCGATCCCGAGGAAAGCAGCAGCAGCTTGATTTAGCAGTGGAATCTAATCAGACATTCATCAGATTCCAATTCCGTCCTCCGGGTAAGTGGTATAGAATTTTGCCTTGACCAGCCGGCCCAGTAGCAGTAGGAGCAGCAGCATGCATGATGATTCTACTCGATTAAGCTCAAATCATCTCCACTCATAATCGTAGGAGATTTTCTCGCAAGACGAGCTGTGCGTGACCGACAAGCAGATGTTGCCAGAAGTCTTATTAACTTGTCATGTGTCTGAAGACTCCTGCTGTGTTAGAAATGGTCGCCATCGTGAATTCATGATTAGCTATTCGCTGGAGAGGGTAGGAATGGCGACGCCGCAATTTAATACTCCCATCCCAGCATCCCAGCATCTGCGATCACTCGTAGATCTTGTGCTCCTTCGAGCCAGCGAGCGTGCCGGAGACCAAGTAGACGGCGTGAGACTCCGAGCAGAGAGGGCCAAACCAGATCCACCTCGAAAATATTAGTCATGATCAAGCGCTCTTGGAGAAGGATCGTGAGCATCTGCGGCAGTAAATGGAATGGTTTTACGCAGTTACATTCATCTGCCACTGCAGCAGAAGCAGAAGCAGTGCTCAGTTTCTGTTACATACAAAACGGGACTGGAGTACATGTACGTGGGTACAACAGATGCTATGCTGCAGGTGAGATGCAGACCCAGTAAGCCAGAGCTACCGTAGGTAGTGCCAGACCAGGCGTCTGCGACCAGTGGCTCCAGTGGCTCCCCCCGGTGTCATAAGGAAGGCGTCACCATTAAAAGCTTCCTGCAAGCGCATCATTCTGGTCTACGACCGTATACCCGGCCGACTCGAGTACCACTCGTTCTCTAGGCTTTCAGAAGCTCTGAATCTCCACAGCCTCAGCTCAGCTCAGCTCGCCTCACGTCTACCTGAACCTGCTGCGAACGTTTACGATGCAATGCGACCGACTCCGTCCCACCGCCATAAAATAAGCCAAAGACCTCCTTATGCCCAGTTCTCCCCTCCATGGCCGGGCCGGGCCCCTTGCCTGTACCTCAGGTGTACCATCCTGCTTTCTCTTTCAGGTGAGTGCCTCCATTAGAGCGCTCTGGAGCCAATCCAAATGGTACCGATTGTGCATGGGTCCGTGCCTGGATTTAGAGCTGGCTCCCTCACTGGAATTGGGGAAGGATGCTGAATTTGAGCAATGCTTGGGCTGCATCACTCACTCTCACGGTATTAAGATCATCCACACGAAGATGAGACACGATCACCATGGTTACTTAACTACATTTGCCCTGGTTAGTTTCCCAGGTACACACTGCTGGAAACAAACTAATCTTTCCTACAGAGTCGGTTCTTGAAGGCCTCATTGTTTGTTCAAAGCATTACGGAAATTCCCAAATCGTGACTCTACTAATTCAAGCAACCTTGCTGTAGATGTAGCTGCTCCAAGGGTTAAGACTTGCCTTATCCGGCAAGTTTGTTGGGGATATATTCGTACTAATGCTAATTCCCTCGGCTATAGAAAGTGGCTCATTTGGTACTTTGCTATTGCTGGATTCCAACTTGTTATCACTTGGTTCACTGTCAGCCAGATTCTTACTGCTGAAGAGGGTTCTAACTTTTTCAGATCAAAATAATGGTGAACAAAAAGACCAAACCCCGTGTCCTATTGGATAGAATCTATTATCGTTTTCTATACAATATAAGATTCCGAAAATTCTAAACATGATAATAATATAATATGGTTTAAAAGAAGGTGCAAAATCGAGCAACTATTTAGGATTCTACTGAAGATGGACTCACAAAGTATAACGTTCAATTTGAATAAAATACATTTGAAAGTCCTCTTGCAGATCACATCATTAGTTTTTATTTGGAATCTTTGAAATTAGAATACATCCATAATGATGTCAATTGTATCATCGAGAAAGAGGCCCTAGTACCATGAGAAGGCTCTGTGCATTACGGTGTGGAGCACTATGGGAATAAAATTGCGGTGTCGAAATAGATGTCAATAGAGAGTAAAGAGTGGGTAGTCAACAACATGTCATCTTGATTATTGGGATATGGACGCGGCTAGCGACAAGTCCCCACCTCTAATGTGAATATCTAACATGCTATCAAATTTATGATTTAGCATCAAGATATGTTACAATTGCACCAGAGGGATATATATATATATATATATATATATATATATAGTTTTTGATCATACTTTACTGACGAACATCTCCTCAAGAAAAAATATGTTTAATTTTAAGTTCTCCATTAGAATAGAGTCTACTTCGATAGAAGATTTTATAATATGAGAATCATGGAATTATTTGGTGCAAATTGCTTTCAATTGAACAAATATAGTCCGTTGGATTCACTCTTCACAGGAATCCACTATTTGTGCTCCATGATCACGTGGGTGACTGAATGGAGGCATTTGCGAGTTCAGTAAAAGAACAAATTTGTGGCAAGAGTGACGAGGGCTCGATCAGCTGGAAATTCGAGTGACACCCCGAACTGGAGGCAGGGTTGAGTTCCTGATGGAAGTCGAAAGATTAGGGTGAGGGAGTGTCAGCTCAGATGCATGATCCACGAACGCGCCAAGTCAAAGGAAGGAGGGCGTCGATGCGATGATCGGACGGGAGAGTGGCTAGTTTGGGCGCAGCTGCTGGATTCAGAGTGGGCGAGGAAAGTTAAGGCAGCCTGGAGAGGTCTGAGCGAATTGCATGTAACGTATACTCACGAGCTCATGTACGTATCGTTGGATCGCAGGTCCCCATGCCAAATCGGCTT